TAACTCAACGTCACTTCCGGCAAGAAAAACGCTAAAGTGTACACTTTACACTAAAGTGTATAAAGTGTATGCAAGAAAAACAGACCTTATATACTGTGATATAGGACTCTAGTTCAAATGTATGAAAAAAATATTCCGTAATTTATTTTAAATCTTTTAAATCAGCTTTTATTTCTTTTGGTATTATGTATGTGCTTTTAATCATGATGTATTTTTGGATTAAGTGCGTAAAAGTATTTGCAAAAAAGTGTGATATCGGTCTAAGGTTAGGAAAATTTAACCTAAAACAAAATATAAAAATGAATGTAAACATATTTTTAGTATTATTAGCTTGTACACAATTTTTATAATTTTTCTTTATAAATATAAAGAAACAAATGTCTGATGTGTATGTATTAAGAAACTAATTGAGATTAAGCTGGAGATATCTCAAACTTTATAAAAAAGTTTTCCTCTGCAGAATTTATTTCTTAAGTTAACATTCTGCATATATTCTACAATGAAAAAGCAAAGTATCCTATATATACACTGCATCCTTATTCTTCCCATCATTTGTAAGTTATATGTTTATTATATAAGTATATGTTACATGTTTGTTTTAAAATTATTTCTTAATATAGTTGTAAATTACTTAATGCTTAATATAAAAGGAAATTTACATAATGTATTTATTTTACTTTTCATTTATTGTTTTTTATTTACAGATGGGCTTCACAGAAATTTAAAATATTATGAGACTATTCATAGTTCTCACTTCGAACATAGGATTGTAAAACGTGGGATTCATCATAGTTATCATCCCTATAATAAAATTAATGAAATAGAGTTTTATTCACATGGGCGGTAAGACATTTGTTTAAATGTTTTATATATTATCAAGAAATGAAAAAACATTTCTCATAATAGTAATGTGTTAATAAAAGTATTTGTTTCAATTCCAGTCATTTCCGATTAATTTTAACACCTAAAAGAGAAGTTATACATTCTAAATTTAAGGCATACCAAGTTGATGCTGATGGAAAAGAAAAAATAATACATTTGGGTATAAGGATTTATAAAAGTTTCTAGCTAAAGTCTTAGTCTGTTACATAGTACTATATTTTATATATTTTTTTATTACAGATCATGATGATTTTTATCATGGTCGGGTATTTGGAGAAATTGACTCTCATGCGCAAATGTATATTGATGGTGGTGTTATGACAGGCAGTATAACAATAGCAGATGAAACTTTTCACATTGAAGTAAGTATATTGGACAAAATATATGTAATATAGTGAAAAGTTTACAATTGTTTTTTAAAAAAATTAATTTAACATGAAAATAATGTTAGCCATCTTGGAGACATCTTCCTCACTTAGATAACCAAACAATGATTATTTACAAATCCTCTGATGTTAAATTCAGTTGGGAACATTATCAAAATGGAGGTCATACACATGGACCTCCAAAGACCTGTGGTTATGTTAATGAAAACTCGGGTATGATTGTATCATAATATAACTAACTGATGAGTTAACTATAATTTATTTTGTTTTTTAATTTTATTTTTAATTATAGCATCATGTTTTACTATTAAACATTATGATAATATTTTTTCTTGCATATAGATTATGTATTAAATATCACAGAAGATTCTGTAGAAAATAAATCTGAAATTGATAATAGCAGCAGTAGAGTGAAGAGACAAACTGAAACATATGAATATACGCCGACGAAAACACGATGCCCATTATTACTAGTTGCCGATTATCGATTTTATAATGAAATGGGCGGTGGTAGCACAAAAACTACAATAAATTATTTGGTTATTTATTACTGCATTTATTTATGTAAGTGCCTTTGTACGTCTCTATGATCGTAACAATGATAAATCTGTTTGCAGATAAGTTTAATTGACAGAGTACACAAGATTTATAACGATACTTTGTGGCAAGAGCGTCAAGAGCAAGACGGTTTCAAAGGAATGGGCTTTGTTATCAAGAAGATTGTCGTTCACAGTGAACCGACACGAGTGAGAGGCGGTGAAATGCACTATAATATGGTTCGCGATAAGTGGGACGTTCGCACACTGCTTGAGGTCATTCTACAACAGAATTATAAAGAATTGGTTTGATAAAAATTAATTTTGCTGATGAAAGTTACTAATTAGTTTTAACGAATATAATATGTTCAATAGACATTGTTAAACAATCAATGTCGGTTTTTATGTTGCAGGTGTTCAGTAGAGAGTACAGCCACAAGGATTTTTGTTTGGCTCACTTGTTCACCGATCTCAAATTTGAAGGTGGTATTCTTGGTTTGGCGTACGTAGGCTCTCCTCGTAGAAATTCAGTAGGCGGTATTTGTACACCAGGTATTTATACACACAGAGTGTTTTGATATTATGTAACTTGTAAGTAGATATATGGACGCTAATATGCGATACAGTGTCAACCCACATCGCTATTTTAAGTAAATTACACCTTAAGATTAAAAAAAAAGATGTTTGTACATATATGTTTTAAGATATTTGTGTATTTTTGATATATAGAAACATTTAAGGTTTTAAAAACACTATTAAAAAACGTTCTTTGATAGCTAAAGAAGCACACTATATAAATATCTCAATATTTCATTTTAACTCCATATATGGATGCTAGTAAGCAATCATATATGGATGCTAGTAAGCAACCCACAAAAAATGAAATTTATTTAGGTTTTCTACGTTATTGTTAGAAATTACAAAAATGTTTGTTTTTTTTGCAGAATATTTTAAAAATGGATATACATTGTATTTAAATTCAGGACTTAGCTCTAGTAGAAATCATTACGGGCAAAGAGTGATTACTAGAGAAGCTGACTTGGTCACGGCACACGAGTTTGGTCATAATTGGGGCTCCGAACATGATCCAGATATAACAGTAAGTCACAGTTTATAGATATAATATGTGTCTCAAAATTTATTTCAACCAAATAAATTTAATTTTCTGATATTAATTGTAGGAATGCAGTCCAAGTGCAAGTCAAGGCGGATCTTATTTAATGTATACTTACAGCGTTAGTGGCTATGATGTAAACAACAAGGTATGTATTACGTGTACAAATTAATTCTCGGCCTCTTCTTCCTAAAATCAATTATAACATTACTACAAAGTGCTGAGTTTTGATCCTGGTTAGAGCATTCAAGTACCAACGTAAAAAAGGTGACACACGATTATACAGCTGACATAACTTCAAAAAATAAGTGAAGTTTGTGCGAGTTAAAATGTCGTTTTAGAAAGAGCATCTTTGTCACTGTACTAAAACCGGATGAAACGCCAAATGTTATCAAGACCGAAATGCATCTGAATGACGCCATTGAGCAAAAAAAGACCGTACATCGGTCATGGGACACGGTAAGGGCTATTCTATAATGAGTTGCGAAAGATAGCAACTACTAGGGGAAAAATGCTATTTTTTTAGTTGCGCTTGGCCGTTGCAGTTGCCAAAAAAAGTTGGTCAACTTTTAACTTTTGGCAACAGCAACTACAGCCAAGCGCAACCGGAAATTGTACTTTTCTCTTAGTAATTGTCATCTTTCAGAACTGGCGACGGAACATGCAACTCATTGTAGAATAGGTCTAAGTGATACTGCTACATGACAACCAGGGGGATGATACTCTTTGACTATAGTACCTTTCGACACTAAATTATTTGACACCGTACGATTCGACATAGTACGATTCGATACAGAACATTTTCCGATATCATGTACATCTCATATCTAAATATTTTGTTTGTTTGTTTGAGATGGAGACCATCTTCGAAAAAACCTCATCTAATCCACTCTGTGTTACTACTATTATTAATTGTCACGATGCACATTATTTGTCACTTGTACTGTGTCCAATCGTACTTTATCAAATCAATATCGAATAAATTGTCAAATAATTCGATGTCGAATAAGTTGGTGTCGAATCATACTGTGGTCAAACGGAACACACCCGCTACATGCAGCAAAAACAACGAAACAGTTCATCTGTACGTTGTGTTAGGAAATTTTGCCGCATGCGGTTTATTCTCCTGACATGGCCCCGTCGAATTACTATTTGTTCCGATCACTAGCACAGCACCATTTAGCGGACTCTTACTTCCAAACAGAAGATGTGAAAAAAGTATCGATAACTATCGGATCCAAACCGCCGTCTTTTTTCTGCGAAGGCATTCGCCACTTGCCTGATAAATAACAAAAATATATAAGTGCAGAGGGAAATTATTTCTCAGAGTAAAATATAACAGGATTTTTTAAAAATAAACATCGAATTTGAAAAAAGGCCGAGAATTAATTTGTACACCTAATACTTTCTCACACTTTAGTATTTTTCTATTATACCTGCTATTAGAATGATAACAACAATTTAGATTGTACTTTTGTCCGTTGTACGCAGCGCTGCCGTGGAACTTGCCACACGTGACGTCACGTGTGGCAAGTTCCACGGCAACGCTGGTTGTACGTAGCATGGGAATTATTCTGCATATCATAGATTTTTGCATATCACCTTGTGTTATCTATAAATATATTTGTAGATTTTCATATATCGACGTATATTATCACTTACAGAGATTTTCACCATGCAGCTTACGATCTATCAGGAAAGTCTTGCAAGCCAAATCCGGACGTTGTTTTTCAGAACCGGAAGAATCGTTCTGTGGAAATTTAAGAGTTGAAGGAGATGAAGAATGCGATGCAGGTCTTTTGGGAACAGAAGATAGTGATCATTGTTGTGACAAAAATTGCAAACTCCGACGTAATCCGGGAGTAGATTGCAGGTAATGCTTGCAAATATATTTAAAATTTTACATAATAACTGAAGTTTTTAAACTACTTACGCTCTTCGTCTTTTCCAACAGTGACAAGAACTCTCCTTGCTGTCAGAGTTGTCGTTTTATGCCTTCAGGGACAAAATGTCGTGACGCGCAATATGCTACTTGCGAGCAAGAATCACGCTGCACCGGCAGTTCCAGCGAATGTCCGAAATCACCACCTATGAAAGATGGTACTAATTGTCTTGAACGTGGTCAGTGCAAACTAGGCAAATGCGTGCCATACTGTGAGACTCAAAATTTGCAAAGCTGCATGTGCGATACGAGTATGTTTTATTGAGAAAAAATTAAGTTTTTCTAATTGTCATATTTTACGTACAGAAAATGTTTAATTTTATTTTTTGTATTATTACTAATATTTTACATTTTGATTGGTAGTCGGCGATGCATGTAAGAGATGCTGTAGAATGAGTTTGAACGAAACATGCTTTCCAATCGATCCGCAAGACATTTTACCAGATGGAACACCATGTATTCAAGGATTCTGTAACAAAGTAAGTAATATTATAGTAACATACATAATAGCAGCGTCTATAAAGTAATAGAACTTGTTAAACAAAAAAAAATTGATATGAATAATATACAGGACGAGTCAGTTAAAGTATTACAAATTTATAGTTTGGGAACAAAGCATTTTAGAGAAAAATTTTTCATACAAATGTTTTGTGACTTTGAGAGAGACATAAGATTGTGTCACTGATTTAGTTTTGAATAGTCATTTAAAGATCACATGAAGATCATCTTCAGTTTCTTAAATAGAAACTTCCATTTTTTTGAAAAAAAAATTATTTTGACATATATATGTGTATACATATATACAAGGTGTCCCAGAATTGGTGTAACATCTCTCGTGAACAAATAGGAGTAAAACTGAGTCAAAAAGTTTTATACCATTTTGCTAGATTCGCAATAGTTACCTAGATCTTAATAAACAAAGATCAGCGAATAAGCATGCATTGCGCTATCTTACGCGCTTAAGACAGCCCAGAGCGCTTCGCGCGCTTACGGTGTTACCCGTAGCAGCATATGGGAGGAGCTAATATAACAGCATATACTATAACATATACATATTAAAATGTAATTGTGCAAAGCGCGCCAGGCTGTCCTACACGCGTAAGACAGCCCGATGCACGCTTATTCGCGGATCTTTATTAATTCAGATTTTGGTAACTATTGCGAATCTAGCAAAATGGTATAGGACTTATCGACTCAGTTTTACTTGTTCTACCTGTCTACGAGAGATGTTACACCAATTCTGGGACACCCTGTATATATATATTTATTTATCATGCAGTTTAGCAACTTTTCTCAATTTTGGCTATTTTAACTCGGGTTTTTTTAAAGAACGCTTTATTTTGCCAGTCTAATGAAGAATCAGTCGAGGGAGCTCAGAAAAATTCTGTACCTCCCCTTTTTTAAAAAAAAATGTGAAACTCGGAAAATCTTAATTAAGCGGACTTCTTCACCGATTTCAATGACATCGAAATATGTTGTTAAGGACGTTATTCTGAACAACTTTTCCCTGTACATGTTACCGCCGGTCGGCTTTAGTTTTTGAGTTATAATCAAAAGAAGTTTTAGAATTGAATTCTTGTTTTTCACCATTGTGTCGATTTCGGAAACAAATATTTTAGTTGTATCACATATTATCGCACACGTGTAGACGACGAAAGGGTGGGGCGAAACTTTTTCACATATTTGCCTATTCGCGTGCACTAATGGAATTGGACGGAATTTGCCAATTACCGTCGTAAGCGTATAAGCAGGGGGGCTGCGCTTCCCTGCATCCCCCCTACAAAACCTAACCTAACTTTTTTTTTTTTTTTTAACATGGGGGAAATCCATTACGGATATCCCGGCCCTTGGAGAATAAGGCCGGTTATGTGGGACTCCCCTCCCTGGCCCACAGGTCAGGGAAGGTATACTCACTAAAACCCCTATGGTGTGCCTTCTTCGCTCATCAAGGGAAGGCCCGGTACCCCTGTGTAAGGATTCAACCCTAGGCCCTCCCTCGAGCTAACTCCATCCCATCGGGGGAAGACTCTGCGTCCTTCCCCTATCATCACGGGTCTCGACGGCACAGCGGGACACACGCCGCCGCGCCGTCCCATTTCCGGAATCGCGTGCAGGACGAGCCAGGGTCCCCACCCCGGCTCGTCACGATCCCCGCAACAGTTACACTTCCTCCCCGGGTGACGAGTTCACCCGGGGAGGCTGTTGCGACTCCCTCTCGTCCTAAGTAATTGCTCCGCTGGGGCGGCGAGCTGACGGGGGAGCCGGCTCTCCCAACGCACACCGCCCCAGCACCCCTCCCCACTAAGAGCGGGGAGGGGACCGATATCAGGAGGGGCTCCTGTTTGGACCCCGGGGTCGCACGCGAGAGGCGGGGGCCCTGCACCCCGCCCGCACGCGCCCCGGAGGTCCCCCTTGAGAAAAAGGGGCTCTCTCCCTCTCTCTCTCTGCGGCCTCCTGCTCCATAACACCGGAGCAGAAGAAGACCACAGCCTTCCACTCTTCCTCATCCTTGGAGGCAAGAGCCTTCATCAGGCCCTGCAGGGAGAGGTCCTGCCCTATCTTGGCGGCCAACTCTCGACGCTCACCGGACCACTTTGGACACTCTTCCACAGTGTGGTCTGTCGAGTCGTTGGCTGCCCCGCACTCATGGCACTGAGCCGTCGGCTCCTTATCTATTCGACACAGGTACTCACCAAAGCATCCATGCCCGGTGAGCACCTGCGTCACACGGTAGGTGAGGCGCCCGACCCCCTTTTCCAACTACACTTGAAGGTGGGGTCGGACAATCCGGACAACTCTCTGAGCTTCCGCTCGCGGGACACTCAGAGACTCTTCCCACCGTTGGAGAAACTGTTGCCGGGCCTGACGCTTCGACTCGGCGAGGGCATCGCCCTCCATGTCCTCCCCAAGCAGCTCGACTCGGCGAGAGTACCTCGCCGAGTACTCCCGAGCTAAGAGGGCAAGGGGAGGAACCCCCGCCCGCCATCTCTGTGGCCACGTCTCTGAAGCTGCGCGCAACGCGGAGGGCCATCTTCCTCTGGGCCGCGCGGAGCAGATTAAACTTACTCCGCGCGCCCGCCCCCGCTGCGGCCTCAGCCCACAGTGGCGATCTATAAAGGGCCACCGCGTGGACCACATTTACGAACAGACGGCGAACCTTCTCCTGTGGGCCCCTCAAGTTGGGGAGGAGTCTTGCCAAGGAGTTGGCAATCCTCCCCACTTTCGGGGCCAAACGAGCGAAGTGCTCGTCGAAGCGCCATTTCGGGTCGAGGTGTAAACCAAGGTACTTGAAAGTTGTACTCACCTCGACCCGTGCCTTACCTACCTGGAGGCTGAGTCTCGGCGGTCGCCCGCGACGGGGGCCATGGAATCACACGGCCTCCGTCTTGTGAACAGCCACCTTGAGACCCAGCTCCTCTATTTTGCCGACGACCCAGTCTGTGCTGAGCTCCGCCAGTATTTTGGTCCTTCCCCAGTTCTCCTCAGCGGCGATAACAAGGGTGTCATCTACATAACAGATGACATTCGCGCCGCTGAGGGGGAGGGCGTCTCGGATCACCACATTGTACCCGAGGTCCCATAGCAGAGGGCCCAACACAGACCCCTGCGGGACTCCGCGGCACATCTCTCTTTTGTGTGGCGATCCGTAACGGCCGCTGTACCTAATCTCCCTGTCGCGGAAGTAGTCACCGAGGATTCTTCTTAAGTAGGGCGGGACCCCGTGGAACTCCAGCGCCTGCCCTATGCTATCCTAGGGAAGGGAATTAAAGGCGTTGGAGATGTTCAGAGACACCGCCAACGCCATCCCTCCCTGCCTGACCGATGCATCCATGAGGGACTTAAGGTGGAAGATCGCATCTACCGTCGATCGTCTTTCACGGAATCCGTACTGGCATTCGGCCAGGTCGGGACCAATCCGCGTCAGATGCCCAACGAGGCGGGCAGCGACAACACATTCCAACAGTTTGCCCGCTTCGTCGAGCAGGCAGATCGGCCGATACGCGGACGGCGAGTCCGCGGGCCGATCCCCTTTTCTGAGAAGGACCAACTTGGCCTGCTTCCACGGGGGAACCACCCTGTCCTCAGGCAGCCGGTGAGGATCTGCCTGAAGCGGGCCTCCAGGGGACTCTGTCCAAAGGCAAAGCCCAACAACTTGCCGGGCACGCCGTCGGGACCAGGCGCGATGTTTTTGCGCGTCATCCGACGGACGGCCCAGCGCAGCTCCTCCTCTGTGACCCCCAGCTCGTCGGACCACTCAACGGGGTCCGACTCGGGCTCCGGAGAGGGCCACTCCCCCCTTCCACCCAGAAAGAATGTGGAGACGACCCTCTCCAGCAGCTGGGGGTCGAGATTCTCTGTAATCGGCGGGGCCCACGGGCGAAGTTTGCCCATCACCAACTTGTACGGGCGCTCCTACGGATTACCGTCGAGAGTCTCGAGGAGCTCTGACCACGCTCGGGACTTTGCCTTATCAATGGCAGTACGAAGGGCCTTTCGCGCTGCGCGATATCCCTCGTACGCCTCCGTTGCCCGTGCCGCTCCGCCAAAGGCGGTACGGCGGAGGGCCCTGGTGTACCGGTTTCTGGAACGAACACACACCGCCCTTAACTGGACGATTTCGTCCGCCCACCATTACACCGACCTCCGGTTCGGCGGTCCACGGAACGCGGCATCGCCGTGTCGCATATTGCGACCAGCGTCCCGCAGAACCACCGAATTTCCGCCCGGAGGTCACGCGGCTCGGCCGGTGGAGCTGGCCAAGCCGCGACCTGAGCAGCGGCGGACAGGAGATCTGGGTCCAGCTTTTGCAGGACTCACCCCTGGGGTGTAGGCCTTCTCGCCGGAAAGTGGTCCCGGAGCCGCTCAGGGAGCACGGAGACCCGCATGGTTATATATCGGTGATCCGATAGGGTCTCCATGTCATCCCTGACGCGCCATCCGGACACACGGCGAACGACAGACGGGGAGGCGAGGGTCACGTCTACTATGGACCCCCTCTTTCCCCCACGCCGAACGCACGTGTGCAGCGAGCTCCGGTTAAGAGCCACGAGCCCGTTTGCCGCCATAAAGACCTTGAGGGCCCTGCCGAACGCGTTAGTCCTTGGGGAGTCCTAAGTGGTGGACTTGGAGTTAAGATCCCCCAGGACCATCACCAGACGAGGCCGGAGCCGGTTGACAACCCGGCTCAACTCGTCCAGGTACTGCTCAAACTCGACAAGGGCCCTCGACGGCGAGAAGTAAACTCCCACAACCGCGAGTTCCCTCCACTGAACGGCGATGTACTTCCTGCCTCTCTCCAGAGGAGAGAAGACAGGGGACCCCAACCCGCCCTCCCCACGAAAATATGTTGCGACCAAGCCGCACTCGGACCCCAGCCACGACGGGTGGTCAGGGACCTTGTACGACTCGGCCACAACCGCGGGCATCTCGTTAATCTCCGCGAGGCTCTGGATCATTAGATCCTGAGCCCCGCGGGAATGGTTGAGGTTACCCTGGAGGAGGATGGCCATTATGACGACGGTGGCACCTCCATTTCCATCTCCTCCTCCAGGGCACTCCTCTCGGGGGAGGGCTGATCAGCCCCCCCAACCGCTTCCGCTGCTGCCTCGACCGTGGTGGCAGCAGGGGTACAAAACCTTTTTTTTTTTTTTTTTTTTTTTTT